TGATGTACATTCAAGTATTAGCTCCAACAATTGTTAAAAATTAACCGAGTGGTGTTTTTGGATACAGTACTATTGAAGAAACCTGTCTGTTATTATTTGCTGACGATATTAGGTGATACAGATGTAAATCTTCAAAGAAAGATACATATATTGGAGGAATATTTGGTTTGTGAACAGGGTTTCATAGTTTACACATGTTTTTGTTGCACGACTAATTGGTTCCCATTGTGTTTATGGTTACATACTGGTACTAATCTGCCTCGAGGAGATCCGGGTTAGAATAGATCTTCAGCAACTCATGCTTATTGTATGGCGACCTTGCTTAAATCGGGTGGTCAGGCACGGTGACTTGGTTGATGCATGCCATCGTATCCCATCGTATCTTGGATCGATGCTCATTATATGAATCACCGGATTGTCAATTTACACATCGTCGGGACATAACTCGAATAGTGCTGATAACGGCATATAACAACATTCACTAACTCACCTAATAACAAATGCATACTGTCGATGTGTCTTTCTTCAGTATACCTACTCAGTGTACATAGATATACGTAATGTTATGTTTACAGTACCTGAAGGTATAAGAGAATGACATATGGAATGATTATGGAATAGCAAACAGTTTTCATGATCATGATCAAACATTACGTTCATGAAACGTGAACACATGAACGGGCTATAGTGTGACATATCGGTTTCAAATTACCCATAAATATTTGGAATACAGACAGTTCCATATCTGCCACAGTTACTGTGAGTTATGACCGTTACTTCGTGTTGAGGACTTATCACAGGCTGTGGTGACAATGGCACCGTTGGTGATTACACCTCAGTACACGATTGACGTGTGCTGCACGTGCCCGAGGCCAGCGCCCCGGGAAATACATGTTCATATCACTCCATGACCCCGACACTCTCGCCCGGCCTCATCATACTCCGCCACACCCCAAATTAGACGTTTCAGTAAAGTGGCCTGTAATGTACAAGAATACTTTACGAATATTTCACCTTGTCGTCACCCAAAACGAGCAACACTTGATTGATAGATTTCTCTTTTTTCTTGTTCTGGAACACACAGAATTGAATTGTCTCACTGCGATCCATCAATCTGACCTTTTAATATCATTTATATAGTACTACACAGTCTAATAAAATATTCCCAGACGGATCTTTTCCTTATATCTGGGGGAAAAGCATTATTTGTCCCATCTTCAAGTCTGGTGATCCCAACAATTATAGTCATATCATTGATAGTGAGTGAGTATGGTTTTACGCCGCTTTTATTAATATTCCAGCAATATCACGGCGGGGGACACCAGAAATGGGCTTCACACATTGCACCCATGTTGGGAGTCGAACCCGGGTTTTCGGCGTGACGAGCGAACGCTTTAACCACTAGGCTACCCGACCGCCCCATATCATTGATAGACTTTATGTGCAAGATATTCACTTCTATTTTAAACGTCTCTGGTGTCATTAAAATAATATTATGACATGGGCTAGACATATCAAACATATTCTGCTTCAGTTTTGGTTTGGTTTCGTATGGATTAGCCAGAATATTGGGAATATTAACATTTTTACAAGAATATTTAAAATAAGACTTCTTGACACTGTAAAACAAAACTGGTTTTCTACTCAACACTCTTCTCATAAATGTGCCACCTATGTGTTAAAATATACACTTTTACATGTGGAAGCATATCTGTGCATTGCTTTTTCTTTACATTGAGAATTTGTTTCATAAGATTTGTGGTGATTGTAGACTTATGACAAAATGTACATAGAAGACGATATTCATGTTTTGCTTCTATGTGATTCATAACCTCTATTAGAAAAAGTATATTGGTAATTACATCGGAAATGACAGTGCAGTAAACATATTCATAAATATTATGAACCCTCAAGATACATAAACAATAAATTATCCTTGTTTATACCTACTTAATGTGCAAAAAATAACCAATATGTTTAATGCCAATTAATATACATAATTTTAAAGAATACCTCATATGATATGTGTGTCTGTGCAATATCTGTGTATATGTCTGTGTATGTACTTGTCAACCTCATACAAAGCAAACTACAAATTGCACCCCTGCGTACTTTTTCATATATATGACCGCCTTCGTGGTCTAGTGGTAGAGCGTCCGCCCGTAGAGCGGAAGGTGCGGGGTGATGCCCGGCCGCGTCATACCAAAAGACGTTAAAAGATGGTACTTGTTGTTACCGTGTCTGGCGCTCGACATTAATGGGCTAAAACAAGAACTGGTCGGTTCGGAGTCAGTATATTGTGTCTGAGTTGGGTATTCATGTTAAACTGCGGCATGGTATCTCAGTGAGCTAGCACTATAAATAGTACAAGCAGCCACACAAACACGTGCGTGCACGTCGCTATATATAAGTGCAATTATCTTGGACGCGACGTTAAACCCAATTTCAGCTCACCATCTCCTACATATAAATAAAACACAGTTTGCACAAACCTTTTTCTGAAAGAACACAGATTGTACACCACTTTAATGAAAGAACACAGTTTGTACACGACTTTAATGAAAGAACACAGCTTGTACACTACTTTAATAAAGGAACACAGTGTGTACACTACTTTAATGAATAAACACAGTGTGTTCACTACTTTAATGAAAGAACACAGATTGTACACTACTTAAATAAAGGAACACAGTGTGTACACTATTTTAATGAAAGAACACAGTGTGTACACTACTTTAATAAAAGAACACAGCTTGTACACTACTTTAATGAAAGAACACAGTTTGTACACTACTTTAATGAAAGAACACAGTGTGTACACTACTTTAATAAAAGAACACAGCTTGTACACTATTTAAATGACACGACACAGTTTGTACACTACTTTAATGAAAGAACACATTTTGTACACTACTTTAATGAAAGAACACAGTTTGTCCACTACTTTAATGAAATAACACAGTTTGTACACTACTTTAATGAAAGAACACAGTGTGTACACTACTTTAATGAAAGAACACAGTTTGTGCACTGCTTTAATGAAATAACACAGTTTGTCCACTACTTTAATGAAAGAACACAGTTTGTACACTACTTTAATGAAATAACACAGTTTGTCCACTACTTTCACGAAAGGTCACAGTTTGTCCACTACTTTCACGAAAGGTCACAGTTTGTCCACTACTTTAATGAAGGAACACAGCTTGTACACTACTTTAATGAAATAACACAGTTTGTACACTACTTTAATGAAAGAACACAGTTTGTAAACTACTGTAATGAAAGAACACAGTTTGTACACTACTTTAATGAAAGAACACAGTTTGTACACTACTTTAATGAAAGAACACAGTTTGTACACTACTTTAATGAAAGAACACAGTTTGCACACTACTTTAATGAAAGAACACAGTTTGTACACTACTTTAATGAAATAACACAGTTTGTACTCTACTATAATGAAATAACACAGTTTGTACACTACTTTAATGAAAGAACACAGTTTGTACTCTACTATAATGAAATAACACAGTTTGTACACTACTTTAATGAAAGAACACAGTTTGTACACTACTTTAATGAAAGAACACAGTTTGTACACTACTTTAATGAAAGAACACAGTTTGTTAACTACTGTAATGAAAGAACACAGTTTGTACACTACTTTAATGAAATAACACAGTTTGTACACTACTTTAATGAAAGAACACAGTTTGTACACTACTTTAATGAAAGAACACAGTTTGCACACTACTTTAATGAAAGAACACAGTTTGTACACTACTTTAATGAAAGAACACAGTTTGTACACTACTTTAATGAAAGAACACAGTTTGTACTCTACTTTAATGAAAGAACACAGTTTGTAAACTACTTTAATGAAAGAACACAGTTTGTACTCTACTATAATGAAATAACACAGTTTGTACACTACTTTAATGAAAGAACACAGTTTGTACTCTACTATAATGAAATAACACAGTTTGTACACTACTTTAATGAAAGAACACAGTTTGTACACTACTTTAATGAAAGAACACAGTTTGTACACTACTTTAATGAAAGAACACAGTTTGTAAACTACTGTAATGAAAGAACACAGTTTGTACACTACTTTAATGAAAGAACACAGTTTGTACACTACTTTAATGAAAGAACACAGTTTGTACACTACTTTAATGAAAGAACACAGTTTGCACACTACTTTAATGAAAGAACACAGTTTGTACACTACTTTAATGAAAGAACACAGTTTGTACACTACTTTAATGAAAGAACACAGTTTGTACTCTACTTTAATGAAAGAACACAGTTTGTAAACTACTTTAATGAAAGAACACAGTTTGTACTCTACTATAATGAAATAACACAGTTTGTACACTACTTTAATGAAAGAACACAGTTTGTACTCTACTATAATGAAATAACACAGTTTGTACACTACTTTAATGAAAGAACACAGTTTGTACTCTACTTTAATGAAAGAACACAGTTTGCCAATACTTTAATGAAAGAACACAGTTAGTGCCTCATCTTTATACTAGTAAAGCCGACAAATAGCGTGTGTTATTCAGTCACCTGGTTTAGATACACGACACAAGTATAGCCACACACACACACACACACACACACACACACACACACACACACACACACACACACACACACACACACACATATATATATATATATATATATATACCACTATAGTTCTCAATCGAAAACAACGATACATATCCTAAGCTTACTACATTGTGTGAATGCAAGACATAGGCGATGTCACTCAATTTCTCAATTTCACCTGCAACATTTAAACATACATGTACCTGTCAAAATATCTAACCCTAGGCGTGTTAAAACTCCTGTCCCCCGCATTGCAGGGAACAACTTCACAGTGTTAATTCCCGAGTGAATAAGTTTTAGAGTAGATTCAAGTATATTGTAATAGTTATAAACTCGATACCGCAACAAGAAATGTAAGTACATTAGGCATAACTCACCTGCAGCGCCCCCAACAGACACAATGGCCGCTACACACAACCAAAAGGCGGTGGATCGCATGTTGCACCTGGAGATGTGCACTGCTACTGCGACACTGACAAGGCTTGGCGTCACGATAAGGACAAAAACAGCTCTGCATTGCCTGCCTTCCTCGTACGTGACGATACTTTCCTGACAGGCGATTAGCTGTGACTCCAGTGAAGACAATGATGATCTATTCATCATTATCTCATCAGTCACTGTCCTGCTTGAAATGACGGACAAAGTTGTATATTTTAGAATGTTCAGGTGAGGTGAGCCGTGTCCTGATTACAGGTGTCGCCAGTTGACGCAAGAGGTGAAGTGTGCTGACCAGTAAGTCTAATTTAAGTAGACACAAACCGTCACGTTCTAACGGGTAAACGCAAACCGTTACACACTATTAACCCGGCATAAGCCAATACAGACCTGGAAGGCACCAATAGTAACATAGGAGCCATGCAGACACCAACAATTTTTCACAGTCCCTAGTCGTGACCAACTGGATAAAAACCAACAGTTACACAACACCGGATAGACACTAATAGTTACACACAATAGGAAAGGCACCAACCGTTGCACACTACATGGTAGACATCAAGGGTATCACCAATTACACACAACTGGGAAGATACCAATAGTCACAAACGACCGGGGATATATCAACATGTACACACAAAGGGTAGCTATTAAAAGTTACACACAACCGAGGAGATGTCAACAGTTACACACAACCGGGGAGATGTATACATTGTTACACACAACCGAAGAGATATATACATTGTTACACAGTACATGGTAGATATCAACATGTACACACAACCGGTATATACATTGTTACACAGTACACGGTAGATAACAACAGTTACACACAACCAGGGAGATAATACCAGTTACACACAACCGAAGAGATATATACATTGTTACACAGTACATGGTAGATAACAACAGTTACACACAACCAGGGAGATAATACCAGTTACACACAACCGAAGAGATATATACATTGTTACACAGTACATGGTAGATATCAACAGTTACACACAACCGGGTAAATACAAACAGTTACACACAACCGAGGAGATGTCAACAGTTACACACAACCGAAGAGATATATACATTGTTACACACAACCGAAGCGATATATACATTGTTACACAGTACATGGTAGATATCAATAGTTACACACAACCGGGTAAATACAAACAGTTACACACAACCGAGGAGATGTCAACAGTTACACACAACCGAAGAGATATATACATTGTTACACACAACCGAAGCGATATATACATTGTTACACAGTACATGGTAGATATCAACAGTTACACACAACCGGGTAAATACAAACAGTTACACACAACCGAGGAGATGTCAACAGTTACACACAACCGAAGAGATATATACATTGTTACACACAACCGAAGCGATATATACATTGTTACACAGTACATGGTAGATATCAATAGTTACACACAACCGAGTAAATACAAACAGTTACACACAACCGAGGAGATGTCAACAGTTACACACAACCGAAGAGATATATACATTGTTACACACAACCGAAGCGATATATACATTGTTACACAGTACATGGTAGATATCAATAGTTACACACAACCGGGTAAATACAAACAGTTACACACAACCGAGGAGATGTCAACAGTTACACACAACCGAAGAAATATATACATTGTTACACACAACCGAAGAGATATATACATTGTTACACAGTACATGGTAGATATCAACAGTTACACACAACCGGGTAAATACAAACAGTTACACACAACCGAGGAGATGTCAACAGTTACACACAACCGAAGAGATATATACATTGCTACACACAACCGAAGAGATATATACATTGTTACACAGTACATGGTAGATATCAACAGTTACACACAAACGGGTAAATACAAACAGTTACACACAACCGAGGAGATGTCAACAGTTACACACAACCGAAGAGATATATACATTGTTACACAGTACATGGAAGATGTCAACAGTTACACACAACCGGGTAAATACCAACAGTTACACACAACCGAAGAGATATATACATTGTTACACACAACCGAAGAGATATATACATTGTTACACAGTACATGGTAGATATCAACAGTTACACACAACCAGGGAGATAATACCAGTTACACACAACCGAGGAGATAACAACAGTTACACACAACCAAGGAGATATCACCAGTTACACACAACCGGGTAGACACCAACAGTTACACAGTACATGGTATATACCAACAGTTACACAGTACATGGTAGATACCAACAGTTACACAGTACATGGTGGATACCAACAGTTACACACAACCGGTTAAATATCAACAGTTACACACAATCGGGTAGATACCAACAGTTACACACAACTGGGTAAATACCAACAGTTACACACAACCAGGGAGATACCAACAGTTACACACAACCGGGTAGACACCAACAGTTACACACAACCGGGTAAATACCAACAGTTACACACAACCGGGTAAATACCAACAGTTACACACAACGGGGTAGATACCAACAGTTCCACTCAACCGGGGAGATACCAACAGTTACACAAAAGCCGGGTAAATACCAACAGTTACACACAACTTGGTAAATACTTACAGTTACACACAACCGGGTAAATACCAACAGTTCCACTCAACCGGGTAGATACCAACAGTTACACACAACCGGGTAGATACCAACAGTTACACACAACCGGGTAAATATCAACAGTTACACACAAGGGGATAGATACCAACAGTTCCACTCAACCGGGGAGATACCAACAGTTACACAAAAGCCGGGTAAATACCAACAGTTATACACAGCCGGGGTGATACCAACAGTTACACACAACTGGGTAAATACTTACAGTTTACTTACTAACCGAGTTTTAACAACAATATACACTGTTAAAAGCGGCGAACACGTCCCATTTTAATTCTGGAAACCCAATAGTCCAGAAACTCTACGGTCTTTGCCCAGTCTCGGTCAAAGATATTTACAAAAATATACATGCTGTGCCTTGTGTTCAGGCAAGTTATTTAGTTCAATAATTTTGTATTAAAATCCTTTTCAATTTGTTTTCACCATTTTCCCTATTCCATGCATGTTTATTTTGCTACATCTTATTGCTCATGTTCCCAAATATTATGAAACACTTTAATGTTTCTCCTTCCTAATCTAACGTTATAACATTTCAGGTTATTACCATCATCAAATACACAAGAGATGATAGCAAGACATATTTTATTCGGTTGTATGGTCTATGCGGTCTTACAATTGATTTTATTAGTCTTTAAATCTTATTTCTAGTACATTTTTCACAAACTGGGCTGTTAGCTGATATAAGGAATGTAACATCCAGTTGAATTTCCAGTTGACGTACTTACTTTTTTTTTATCAAATAAGAGGACTGTATACGACATTCTTTAGTCTCTTAACGAACTTTCTACAATTAATATTTGAATAAGCCGTTAATACGCCAGTTGTTACAGGGATGATGGTATGATAGCTGTAGCAGATAGATTGACAGTCGTTGTTACGTGTGTCACTAGGTTATTAGTACGGCATTGGCCTCGTTGATTGTTACTATACTGGAAGATTTCTGTGGCCAGTGGCGGACGTAATTCAAACTCCTTCCACACTGACACCGCATCAAATATATTTGTGTACCGATTACATAACTCTTACTGACAGGGTATGGTGGTAGTTCTTCATCGGATGACACTGTGTATATTGGGCGGCTCCTCTGATATCGCCTCCAAACATACTTTTATTGAATGACCCATTAAACAGTGATACACATCTCGTTGAATATATCAAGGCACCAGTTCATATTTCATAACTTTTTTTGTCTTTCTGCTTAATATATCCACATATCAACGAAAATATGTAATACATGTATCCACACAAAAATATACATATACAGGTTATGTATTTGCCCACAGCAACACCCGTATAACTGTTTATTCACGCGTGGTGTGGTAGATTGTAATTGACCGAGAGCAGGTATTGTAGAATCACTTGTAAATGAGGCCGACACTGTAATTAGATACAACGTACTAATGAGAATATGAGAATTATCATAAGAAGGCTGTTTTTTTTCTGAACTGTTACCGTTTTCATACCATAAGTGGCAATGCATTTAAAAGTTGCTTTAGTGTCATGATATTCACTCAAGTTTTCCTCAATCGCATTGAAACATAATTCCCATTGGTTAGATCGACACCGCATATAATTAAATAATTATTTCGAGATTTCGAGAAAGACGAATCGGGTTTTTTTCATTAAAATACACGCACATGTACCTGTATATTGCATACCTAGTGTCACTTAATTTCCCAGTGTGATGTATTAACGAGACATAAAATGGGAAATGAAAAAGAAACTAACTAAACTTTAATGTGTTGGAAAATAATGCAAATGAATTGGAGTAAACGCGCATGAATTCGTATGATAAAGTGTCAAAACGTTTTGAGAGGTAAGGCCGGGTTCATTAAAGATCGTTGCAATATGTAAAAAAGGTGAAATTTGTAAAACGTCTGTAAAGGAAACATCCAACCAAAGGCCCTTTTAAAATAGTAATGTAATGATATAATATAAAGTATATTTCACATAATACAATATACTTTGTACACAATTAGTTAATGCTTTAAAGGGACTGACGAAGGCATGGGTGAAATATTTTAATAACGTCTCAAATTAGTTGAATTAAGTTAAAATGAGTTGAATCATGTGTCATGCTTATAACACCTTTATGCATTTGCGAAACTAAAACTCTTGAGCAAAGGAAAATATTATCGCCCATGGGCCAAACCTTTTTCTCGATACCATGATAACCAATTTCAGGTTGAAATCAGTGTTTACACATCCAGATGGACAATAAAACAACCCTTTAGACATTCCTATTGACGATATCAGATAGACACACCCATTAGATACTCTAGGATAGACAATATCGGGAAGACACAACCTTTTAGACACTATCACGTAGACAACACAAATGAGACACAACCAGATAGACAATGTCAGGCATCTTGTTAGACACATTGATATACACGATGTCCGGTAGACACAACCCTTGAGGCACTATCACGTAGGCACCAGCCTAGATGTCTACAGTTCACAACTTTTGTGAGGTAAAGTCGAGCATGCTCTTCTTACGAATATTTCAAAGAGCCTCATGCAGAACTTGCTCAAAA